AAATATCTTTAATCCAACAAATATCCTTAATCCAACAAATATCCTTAATCCAACAAATATCTGGAATCTAACAACTATCTTGAATCTAACAAATATCTTGAATCCAACAAATATCTCAAATCCAACAAATATCTGGAATCCAACAAATATCTTGAATCCAACAAATATCCTTAATCCAACAAATATCTGGAATCTAAGAAATTTGTGAATTGTATAAGCATATCAATATCATACTTTATAGACAGGTCCACAAAAAATGTAAAATTTGATATTCTTGCATTTAATGAATAAAAGATATTTATTATTATTTCAAGTGAAATTTAAGCAGTTTGATTAAATCTTGCATTGATAGCAAATCAAATTAAGATTGAATTTTTGTTTACAGAGACGTACTTGTTGTTGTTAAATGGATCATTGATTTTAGATTTGAATTTCTGTCACATAGTTGTTGTTATCGTTGGTGTTCTTGTCTTGTACTTGTTCTTGTCTTGTTCCAGTTATTTCTCTTGATCTTTCTTGTTCTTGTTTTTTTTTCTTTATTTTATCATGTTCTTGTTCTTTTTGTTTTCTAATACATGTTCTTGTTCTAGCTCTTGTTCTTACTATTGTTTTACTCTTGTTATTCTTCTTGTTCTTGTTCTTGTTCNCGGAACATGTCACCAGAACTCCAACCAATGGCAGTACAGAATTATTGTCATGTGTCTCCCTCTGTATCACGTGACCAGTATACTGCACTGTCATTGGAGGGAGTTCTGGACACGTGATACAGACGTATATCTTACATATACGTTTTGGTATAATTTTGACACAGTTTTACGACAATTTCTCGAGACAGGAACATCAGATAGATGTTTTATAGGTATCGTTAAACTACTGAGATTCTTAAGTTTCAGCCTACACCCGGCCCCTTTCATTTTTCTTTTACAGTCCCGTCCCTTTAATAAGGGCAAATGAATGATCATAGCCTAGAGATATTCCTTCCTAACTCTTTTATCTGAGCAGAAATACTCGTTCTTCCAATACTAACTCTTCTCACTAAAACAGAGATATTTATCCTTCCTAACTTTTTTTGATCTAATTCAGAGATATTTATCCTTTTTAACTTTATTTTTTAATCTAAACCAGAGATTTCATCCTTCCCAACTCTTTTAACTAAACCAGAGATTTCATCCTTCCCAACTCTTTTAACTAAACCAGAGATTTCATCCTTCCCAACTCTTTTAACTAAACCAGAGATGTCATCCTTCCCAACTCTTTTAACTAAACCAGAGATTTACTCATTTCTAACGTTTTTATTTAAACCAGAGATATTAATTCTTCCAAACTTTTTAAAAAAATCTAAGCCAGATATATTTATCCTTCCTAACTTTTAAAAAATATAATACAGAGATATTTATCCTTCCTAACTTTTTAACAATATATACCAAAGATATTTATCCTTCCTTACTTCTCTTTTATCTAAACCAGATATTTATCCTTTCTAAAAAAGTGTATACAGCCAGCGTACTATGTACAGCTAGAGTTACAATGCACAGCTAGTGCAAATGTTTACCTACTGTATAAACAGCGAGTTACACTTTATAGCTGGTGTGCACTTCACAGCTTGTTTACTCTTTACAGCTATAATGGACTATGTACAGCTAATGTGCAATGTACACTGCACAGCTATTTTACCATGTACAGCTCATGGTACAGTTCATTTCATGTACCGGGCTTAATTTAAACTAGCCAGGGCAAGCAGTACAGTACAAATACAGACTATATTAGGCAAATCTGGGACGGTACGCCCAATGAATGATCCCCTTCAAGTGAAATTTATGTACAGCTAATGTACTATTTGCATGGATTGTATGCGCTGTTGAATATATGACTAGTGTACACTATACAATGTACGGTCGTACTTTACTATGCACAGATAGTGTTCACAATACAATGTACAGCTGTACTATACATACTATATGTTCAGATACATGTACACTGTACCATGTTCTGCTAGTGAACAATGTGCATCTACTGCAGTACATTGTACTCACTTTGTACTTGGTATAGCTAGTAGGCCGGGTCAAGAGTCCCTTAATAGCACTCTTAACTAATCCTGGTTGGTAGGATCATCTACCCTACGCGTTCATAAGTTGTGCTAATACCGGTATTAACAGAAATGACAGTTTTACTAAGAGCGGTGTTAACTAATCTACCCGCAGGGTAGATTTAGGTAGGATGATCTACCCTAAATAACCAGTTCTACCAGTAACTGGTTCAGTAAACATTTTTGTAATATTTTGTTTTATTGCTAAACATGTTTTCAAGGTTACGTGTAATGGTTTAAGTCTCTTGGAAGCATTTATTCATAATACAGTGAGTCCCACCAAACATGACAGTTAGAAGACGACATGAAGTTCATCTTTGATCTTTAAAATAATTCAAGAATTACAGATCTTGAAATAAGAATCAACACTAAATCCCTGTCCTTGACATTGCAAGTTGCTGTCAAAATTACCGGAAATATGAATAATTTTGGTATTATTAAAAAAATGAAATCTGTAGAAAATTCTTAATATCTGCGGAAATTATAATATTAAAATAATAAAGAAGGCTAACCACGTGTTGGAAATATCAGGACTACGAGAATAATTCTAATTGTTCCCAGAATTATACATGTAAAATCATATTGTTGACTTAATGCCACAAATTATTTCATAAAAAGCAACCTTTGAGTCGTCTTCTATCTGACATGGGACACCCTGTATAATGTATAATCTTAAAGCAGAAATTTTGCAATCTTTTCCTACAGCTTAAGAAAACAAAACACCGAGTCAAGAATTTTCAAACAATTGTTTTGTTAAAAAAGTTAATTTTTAAAACAGTTAAGTTGAGTTTGAATCTAAAGATTATCAAGAATCTATTTGGCCAATTCGTCTTTGAGCTGCACTGCAATACTAAATTAAAATCCTTTAACTGTTTTGAAAAAAAAAAAATTTTAAGATTGAAAAAAGTATATGGAAACTAAATTTAGCTTTCATTATTCTCAGATCAGTTTTTACAATTTACATGTTCAAAGACTGAACTTAAAAGTTTTAAAATTGAAATATACATGCAGCATTTTTTACGAACACAATTATTGCAGTATTCCAGCTTAAACATCTAATATTGAAAACGCCTGGTCTTGAGCTTTTCAAAATGTGGTCTACCATTTTTGTTACTTCTAAATTGACAGAGATGTTGCGAAACTTGTACAAACTTCAATTTATTTAATAAATCAAAGTTGTCTAAATATCTAATTTCTTCGTCAATTTTTGAGAAAGGTATAGACCACTTCATGAAAAGTCCGTAGGACGTACAGTCTCGTTTTTATACTTTCTTTGCCATGCATTAAATATCAGAGAACAAAGACGACTTTCAAGTCGCATTTCAAATCTCAACTCCCAAGTTTTTTTAATTCATAGCTAAATTAGTATATAACAAAACTTAAAATAAAAAAAACCTTTTATTTTCTATTTTAGAATCGGATAAGCATATTCAACAAACCGGCAATAAACGAGGAAGAGCAGAGAAGAAATCAAATTAAGAAAGCAAAATTTAATTCAAAACTTTCGAAATTTGAAAAATTTAATTCTGATAACAAAGACGACCTTGTCAGGCGGATATCTGATGTAAAGATTAAAGTAAGTAGTCTCAATGTTTCTTAAAATAGCATTTTTATATGTTTCAGTTTAGATCTAACCACTAAGTAAGTGATAACCAGAAAACTCTAAAATATGAAGACGACTTTTAGAATCACTTCTAACTTTAAAAAGTCTAATGAACATGAGACACAGCAGTAATTGGGCAGCGTAAACAGACCCATTTCACTAAATTTGTGATTTAAGAAGTAACTAGTGTCTAGTTAAACTATTTACTTTTTAACTACATTAAACACTCTTGAGTATTACTATAATGTCGTCTTTCTATTACATTGTAAATATATATATATATATATATATATATATATATATAT